TAGTTTGGAAACCGAATTTAATGGCAAATAGTTGCAATTGCAATTTATGTTTGTCAAACTGCGAGATAATTATCTCATATTTAATAATAAATATATATGATAAAAAACGTACAATAAATATATTTAGACTGCATCTACATTTAAATTCTCATTCCACAAAATTCAGTTATTGCTTGAAATAATCATCTATATATTTGAATTATGGATGTAACAAAAATATAGTTTAAATTATTGTTCAATGCCGATTAACTGAGAAGACTTTTTTAATCGCGCCAACGCTTAGCTAATTACTAAAAAAATACTAACAAAACACTACAATGATGAGTTATGGGAATCTCATCGTATCGAATAGGTTTCAACAATACAAAAATGAATTCCATAATAAAATATTGACCAATAATGATGATATATGAATTACCCAAACAGTATGAATTAGCATGTCACAAACAGCTTCATTTGAGCCATAAATTCTAATGCATAGTATTGTGGCAGGGTATTCTATAACACCGCCAACTCATTTTACTACGTGTTCAATAGAAATGTCTGCATCAGAAAAGCCACCAAGTCATCACCATTGCAATAATACTGTGCAGAAACTACCCTTTCACTAAAACATTATCAAAATAGTTATACTGTGCTGAACAATATACAACCCTTTCACTTTCACCTTCATCCCATTTATCTCACTACACTATTGTCATCATATTTCTTTGTGTGCACAGGAGTAACTAGAATAAACAAACATACTGTGAACAGGTCAAATTGATATGTACAACCCTTTTATTGCATCATTATCACCACATTCACAGTGTGGACAGGAGTAATATACATCACCATACTCATCATATTCTTAGTGTGAACAAGACTATCTAGCATGAACAACCCTTTTCGATATATCATAGTAATCGTATTCATAATGTGAACATGGCTATCTGAGATTTACAGCCTATTTAAATTAAGGCACTATAGTGACAGTAATAAGAATATTGAACTGTATCGCTATACCATATGCATTATAATCATAGTATGGAAGCACTAACTATGATGTACGACACTGTCAGTACACAGTTACCATCCCTTTGTAGTGTACATAGGACTGACTGGAATGTCCTTTCATTACACCATCATCACCACATTCAAACTCTGAACCACACTAACAACATATGCCCTGTGTCACGGGAATACTGTCCAGGAAAGTATCTTATATCAAAAGAGTGGCTAATTGAATGTAGTAAAATACCATTCTGTAGCACGGTAAGTCACAAAAACAACATCTCACTTCATTAAAGTTCGGCGCTTAGTTCTATTAACGTGGACAGTTACTTTTTTTATGAGAAATTGTCTTTATAACCCAGACACTGAAATAAATCCTTGCTATTATACTGATACGCCAATAAAGAGAGGCTACTTTTTGTAATGATATGACTGTTAATTTTTAACAGTTAATTTAGAATATCGTCTGAGTTATATCAGTTTTACATCATAACGAGAATGTTATCATGCTACAGAAGTACCATTACATTTTATCAGATGTCATTGGCTCTTTGATGTTTTCTTTGATATGCACGCTATTTCGATAAGATTAGATGCACACATATAGTCACAGGGGAGATGCAATTTGTAGTTGTTTTTATCACAATTTGAAATATATTCTCATTCACACACACAAGCCAATATAATATATGATGCCTGGGATAGGCATGCATGAATGAAATGGTATGATGACGTCAATTGGATGGCAAGGCTTGGAAGGATTAAAACGGACGCGATTATGAAAATGCTTGTATGGTTGGGCGTAGGGTAGTTAGGAAGATGACAGCGTTTTCCAAACAAAGACTCAATAATCAAGTTCATAGTTTAATATTAAACGAAAAAAGCGAGAGAGAAAAAGCAATGAATATGGTTGAGATGGTTGAAATGACGAATAATCTACAATTATCAAGGGGTAATTCTTCTCTCTGGGGTTCTCCACACTTGACAGGGGGGAATCTCGTCTCGTCTCTATATCTCGTCCCCTTGAGGTGCGGGATCGGGAAAGTCACTTAAGCTTTACAGTCAAATAAGACACACACAACGAAATACGTTTCAACTTTCGTCTTAATCGATCTGTCGAGCACTCTATAAGACACAGCGCCCTGGGGAAAAATCCCCAAGACTATCGCAAGGCTGACCAAAGTCTCGCCCAAGACTCTCTTGGACTGGACTTAGACTCTCCAGGACTGCGTCTGTTCGGGTGTACTCGCCATGACCAACTCAAACTCTCCTTATTCATTTTCAAGACTCTAACCAATTACGAAACAGTAAAAAGACTCTAGGGCGTAACTTTCAATCATAAAGCCAATCACACTAAGTACTGAATACGTCATATCTTTTGATTAATCGTTCACTACATTAATAACTACGGATACCAACTGTCAGAAAAAGTAGTCAGAATAGCGACGGTTATCTCGTAATTAGTTCCAAATCACTGAGCCAAGTTCCGTCCAAAACTTCAAATAGGCCTAAACGATGACAGACATAACACAGCAATTCGCTAATGATCAACTAATTAAGTCGGTCAACATATACGCGGAAACTAATTCATGACACAATGTTAAAATACTCACTTCATTTCCTTCCTTAACTAAGTTGAATGCTAATATCGGTATGCGTACATACTCTGGTACTGTACTGTGGATCAGTGCAGCGTATTTGTGGTAAAAGAAACACACCTAAACCCAAGAAGTTAAATAAGAGAGTCAAGATAGTAGTATTTTGTTGTTATTGCAATAAAAGAATGGTAGTCATTCTTGAGAGGAAATCTACATGGTAGATTAGTTGGAGGCTCAATGAATGGTGGATACCAGCAGCAAATTTCCAAAAAAAGTGTTTGTGGTTCTGCTTTGCAAGTTTGCTTCAAACAGATTTAGATTATGTATTTAGGTCAAGGCACGACACTGTAAGCGGAAGATCAGATTCACTACATTATTTGCCTGAATGTCACGCACCTACCTGTACGAGATGGAGGTGCAAATACCCAGATTATTGAAATGGGGAAGACAGTGGATACCAGGAATAGTATCAATAAATAGTACACAATTATGCTTCTTCTTGTGTGTGCAAAGTTAGCTGAAATTGACGTTCTTCCACATTTTGCACAAAATCTGTTTATAAATTATATGTGATTCATTTTCACAATCTTCTCTTATAATGCAAATGTCGCAGCAGTAAGAGGGACATACTGGCTTGAAGACTGGGGAATATTCTTGAATTGCTACCAATACACCAAGGGCTGAGAAACCATTCTTGAATTGGTCCAGGGTTGTTTTCATTCTCCCAAATAGGTACCATTTGATAGTGTCTAATATTTTTTTAATTTTCACTTTGATTGTGCTTCCATGTACCTGCAAGTTCCGCTTATAACACTCCTTCGTCAACATGAACGTTCTTTAGCAATACAGTGGAGTGAAGAACCTCGTGAACCAATAGCAACTATAATTCGGCTTGCCAAATACATTCACAGATTTACTAATGCATATAGGAACTTGGCAGTTTAAGTACCATCTAACACATGGGATCCTACAATACGATTCATAGTCAGAGTCAACATTTCTCACATCGGGCTATTATCAACAGCACCTTCTGAAGAGCCCTCATTCATCAGTGAATTTAAGAGAGATTTTGTTGAACGGACTGAATGATTTACGCTTAAGTCCCCGTTTGACACAATCAAATAGCTGATTTCTTGAAATGGTAAACTTGGATATCGCATCATGGTTAATTTGTTCAGCTAAATTATAGTAGTATTCTTCAACTGATGTTCAACAGACGTTTTCATCTCTAAATGAGGAAGCATATACACTATTAGCATCGTAGTTATCACATGCACCTGATAGTCTAGGAATATTTGTACATTTTCTAAAAACAGTAAATATGTATGATATTCCTGGATGTCTTCTTGTG